ACCTTTAATCCCAGCACTCGGGAGGCAGAGCCAGGCGGATCTCTGTGAGTTCGAGGCCAGCCTGGGCTACCAAGTGAGTCCCAGGAAAGGCGCAAAGCTAAAAAAAAAAAAAGGTAAAAGGGACTTTTGATCTGTGTGGAAGAAGAGCCATGTAATATACAGCGAGAGGTGCTACAGCATGCCATTATTCTGATTTTGGTAATGATACTAACAGGAGTGAAAACATGGACTTTGGACCAAGTCCTATGTTCCATGTTTTTACCTTGCTCAGAATTCGGATGAGGTCACCTCGTTGGAAGGACAGTTCATCTGGCTGGTCACCATGGCAATCCCACAGGCCTTGGTAATAATTGGCGCAGTCCACTGATCAAAGAGAAGAAAAAGCAAAGATAAAAGGAGTCAGTTCTGCTGCAAATGGAAACCAGGGTTCTGATAGAGCCCCTAGGAAACTTAAGAGTCAGGGGGCTCCAGAGGACACTCAGTACACGCAAAGGACTATGGGAGGAGGAGATCATTAACTCCCATAAAATATTTACAGATCACCCCTAGTAGGAAATTCTGCTTAACAATATGGTAATAGATGTATTTATTAATAGAAGAAAATCAGGCACATGATTTCTCAGTTGGTTTGCAAACAAGTAGGACAAAGATGTTTCCCAGTAGACTTTCTTGATCCAGGGAATCTAAATATCTGAGTCTCTCTCTCTCTCTCTATTTTATGCATCTAAGGAACAGATCCTTCTGCCTGTCTACAAGAGAGGCTGAGTCAGCCAGCGTTCTTCTGCATCATGGCTCACATTTTGGCCTCCTCTGTTCCACGGGAGCTTCATTCCAGGCACTTCCCACCCAGGTACTTCCTGAGGTAGTCACCAGTAAATACTGAAACGAATAGCCCAGTCTTTAAGTGGAGCCATGGGGGGGTCTCATCCATTACAACTAAATTCTGGGTGGGCTGGCCCTTTTCCAGCATCTCATTTGTAGACCCTGAACATGTCTGCCAAGATTTATCTGCCAGCCCCCGGGGAACAGAAACCAAAGTGATCTGCATTAAAAATGAAAGCCACTGAAGACAACAAACCAAGCTTTAGAAAGCACTGGAGAGATTTACTGGGCTTCTCAGCAAGGCTAGATGGCAATGATGCCACAGGACAGCCATCGATTCTTAACAATGAAGAATTCGTATTGATCCTCTTCTACCCGGAAAGGTTAAACACTAGCGTACAAAGTGGGAGAACATCTGGGGATTTGAATGGCAGGAGAGCTAATGCCCACTGGACCAGGGATGCTCCGTGCTTCTTAGACTGTTTCATACGAGAGCTGTGAGCCTAGCATCTGCCAAAGGTGAAATTTGATTGACGGGATTCAGGAGTCCTGTGAGGTAGTTAAAATCTATGTGATTTTTAGCTGGTACACGTCCGTAATCCCAGCACTTGGGAGGCTAATTCATGAATTCCAAGCCAGCCTGGGTTACACTGTGAGATTCTGTCTTGAAGAGCAAAATGAAAAAAAAAAAAAAAATTGTGTGGTATTTTTTGGGGACTTTGTCTCATCTATTCCCACCTACTCTAAATTTGTTTGGACCCTCTCACGGGCACGGATGGTTCTAAGGCCTCTCATGATGGGAACAGATGGGGAACAAATGGTCAGTGGGACACAGAGGACCTGGCTCTACTTGCCCCCCCCCCAATTTGTCCCTAACTTATGAATAATTCAAATAACAGAGGCCCAGTGGAACGAATCCCTATATGTCTTTGAAAAAGACTCTTATTAGGCATCTTAGAGAGCACAAGGGCAGAGGAGAGGCTGACTCCTTTAGGTAAGAGCAGATTGCAAACAGAAATAAAAATGTCAACCCTGGAGACTGGGGCGTGTTTTCTTTCCACAGAGAACTGCTCGTCTTTGCAGCAGACAATAGAGGGCAGCAAACAGAATAACCGCAGGAAACCTTCGGCCGCCGACTTAAGAGTATGTTGGGAGAAAAATATATCGGGAGAAAAATGTTAACTGTTGAAAAGAGAAAGCATATATTTTTGGGGACATTGGTGCATGAAATGATAGAGAAATATCAACCTTGAAAAGCGATGGCAGTTTCCCCAGAGGATGTTACACATTTGCAGTCGTAAGGGAGTTCATAAATCACCCCAAGAGTTTGACTAAGTCTAGGAATGAGGAGTCAATTTTGACATCAATATTTTTTTTGTGGATTTGTAGATGGCAGAGAAAATAGTCTTTTTTAAAAACAGGTTTAAAAAACGCAGTTTAGCTATTTGTGAATGGTGGAAAGGCTGACAGCTATCTTGGCATTCTCTAGCCTAGTGCATAGTCAATTGGAGCTTCTGCTTCTCACGGTGTGCTTGGGTGTACACTCCGAAGGTCCCTTTTGGGGCTATATGAGATTCCTACTGAGATTTGATAATGGTGGAAGAGAATGCCTTGGGAATGGCCTAAATGAAAAGCACAGTAAAAAGAAGGCACAATGGTTCACACCTATAATCCCAGAAATCAGAAGGCTGAGGCAGGAGGATTGCTTTGAGTTTGAGGCCAGTCTGGGCTACAAGGTGAGTTCATGACTAGCCTGGGCTATATAGTGAGAGAGATCTTGTCTCAAAACACAGGGATCTGGAGCACAGGGAACCAGGGAGACAGATAGGGAGACAGGGAGACAGATTCAATCAATCAGGGGGAATGACAAGAGCCTTCTAAGACACAAAAGATACAGAAAGTCCTTTGGTGTTCAGGAACCCAAGAGACAGCTTAGCCCGAGATTAAGGACCATGACAGACAGCTCTGAAAAGTTAATCAGAATGATAGGGCTAAAACTGGAGAACATATTCAATCTGCTATCTAGACAGAGGTATGTTGGTATTAAGGAGATCAATGGGGGAGTCATTCTTTAGCTGGATAAGGTTGGACCCCATATTGCAAGATCCTTGTTTAACTTGTGTGATTTATATTTATGGATTTGTGTAGAGGCAACTTCATGAATTCATTCCTTGGCATCCATCAGGCCTCTGCACAGCACTTAACTGAATACCAGGGACTGTACTAGACACTGGGAACTCCATCCTGGTCATACATGGTCCCCTCTCCCAAGGCTATCCTCTTGTTGGGGAGGCACTGTGAACCAGAGTTCCTATCCCAGGATTCAGGACCCTGAGGAAGTTGAGGATGCTCTACTAAGAGGACACTTAGCAGAGTCTTCAGGATCAGGGACAGCTTCTTTGAAGCTTCGGTTGTCTACAAAAACCTGATCTGCTGAGTATCACAGAAAGACCTTGAAGTTGGGAGGAGGTGAGGCTGAGTAAGACTTCATGCCTGAAGCTTGGCCCCAGGAAGGGCCTGAGGGCCTGCAGCTCTGCAAGGTCAGTTCACGATGCCCTGAACCAAGCTTGCTCATCCTCCCGGGAGACTGAGAGCAGCTGCTGGATTCCTAGGACAGTGAAAGGAGGTAGGAGCCTGACAGCAAGACTTGCCTGTCTGGGCTGGCTTCTGGCCCAGTTAGGTTTCCACCACACTGGCAACAACAGCCTAAGTCAGAAACGGTGCAGTCTTCTGACCAGTTAATTAATTCAAAACATCCCCATTCTCATTTTGAGGACATTATTCCATCTAATTATTTTTTTTCCAGTCTGTCCATTTGGAATGAAAAACAAAAGAATAAAGCTTAATGCCAGCATTTCTCAATGTCTCTCCAAAAAAAAAAAAAACAAAAAACCAAAAAACCGTAACTCGGCACTAAATAAAGCCTGGTAATTCAAAAGCAAAAGCTCTAATATATTCAGCATAAAACAGACAGAGGACCTAGAGCAATAATGGTAACACTAATAACTAAAACAGTTATAACAATTAACAATTACAATGATAGGGAAGCTAATGGCTATGATCACTGCATTTAAATTGCTAACAGCGCTGAGAAGGAGTTTTTCTAGAGAAAATGGGGGGGGGTGTGTGGCAGGGAGTGTCTTGTTCTTTCTAATCCTGTGTAGGGAGGCTAAGCTTCAAGTGAACAGAGTATCACAGAGAGCTGACACAGAATTGTTTTTTTCCCTCTTTTCCAGGTAGTCATCACAAGTTATTTGTCTCCCCACATCAGGCTCTTTGTGACCGGTGACAGGCATTTTTCCTCTGGTGGAGTCCAGGCTGGTGCTCCTGGTGACATGGTCAATGGAAGCACCTAGGCAAAGGACCAGGACATCTGTCTGGCTTTCCTTGTCTTCAGGAACAGCAGAAGCTGACTGTCCTCCCTGAGTTTAGCTGTGAGGACACTGGGTGACTTCAGAGTTCAAGCTGAGACCAGGGGAAAAGAGGCTAAAAGGCGGTCAGTGTGCTGTTACATTTTCTCAATGAATGTAGGCTGTCAATGAGGCCTGGCAGCAGGCACAGCTGTTTAAATTAGGAACACCAGAGACAATAGTTTGCAAACAAACCTAGCAGAGTAGGGCTCAGTGAGAGTCGGACCAAAACTCTGTAAACAGTGTCTTGAAATGCTGCGGTCTAAGCCAAGCCAGGAAGGGCCGCCATCTTTAGTCCATTCAAAGCAGACACCCACTGCTACTTTATTAACAATTTCAGAAGTATGACAAAATTCATCAGGCGTACTCACTGTGGCACCAGGGCAGGGAGAGTGGGTTTTTTGTTTTTGTTTGTTTGTTTGTTTGTTTGTTTGTTTTTGCTTATTTTCAATACCAATATGGTCCAAGCCCATTTCATTTTGAATAATGAAATTACCATGCTCCTTAATTTTGCAAGTGTGATTTATGTATGGGGAATAATCGAAGGTCCTGATCTCACCTCATCTGTTCCTTTTATTGGGTCAAAATTTTTAGCTGGGTGATGCTCAGCTGCTCACTGTTGGTCTTGGAAAACCAAAGGGTAAGAGCTGCCTGCACGAGCCTGTGTATCCTCTCTTTTCTTTAGTATGGGAGTTCTCTGTCTGCAGGTACCACCACGGGCCTTCAGAGGGGCTCCAGGATGGAAAGCTCATGAATAATGACTTTTCTGCTCTTCTGAGATGACTGGATGCTTATTAAGACCATGCCTGGTTTGCCCACAATTGTTGAGAGAGAGAGAGAGAGAGAGAGAGAGAGAGAGAGAGAGAGAGAGAGAGAGAGATACACACAGAGAAAAAGAAACAGAAGAGACAGGGAGAGACAGGGAGTCAGAAAGGGAGGCAGACAGAAAGAGAGACAGAGAGAGAGAGGAGAGCCCATTCCAAGGTCTTCTTTGGGCAAGGATTTGATGTATCTAAGGGTGACTTGTGTCTCCACAGCATGCACACCGAAAGCAAAGGTAAATTTTGTACAAACAGCCCAGAGTGAGTCTTGCTTTGGGCTACCCAGAAGTTACCTTCTCACAGCAAGGCAGGAAAATATGATCACGCCACTGAAGACCTTTAGTGTTAGATCTGCTATGGGAGTGCTCGGCTGGAATTTAGAGAAAATCTGAGGTGTTGAGGAGTCACTCATTAAAGTAACCCTGTTACTAACAGTCACGCTGTAAAGCAAGCTCTTTATAGATTGAGCAATCAATACTACAAGGCCGTGATAGATTTTCTAGGTAACAGAATAAAATAAAAGGAATTGCATCTTACAGGGTCATTAACACTCAATAAGGATAAACTGAATTCTGTTCCTCCCTCCCTCTTCGGATAAGATCTGGAGCTGGGCTGTAAAAACGTTAGCAGGTCTGTCAGAGGGGAGCAGGGCATCAAGAGACCGGGTGTGTGGGGTGGAGTCGGAAGTGCTCAGATGCCAGATGCCACAGCGCCTTACGGGGAAGGGCAGCAGGACAGGCTGGTCTGCTTAAAGCCTTTCCCCCCCAGACACCTGAGAAAAACTAAAAGAAGCAAACATACATAGCTGATCTATGGCCTTCCGAGGAATCTCCTCTGTCCCAGCCTTCACCGAGGCTGTTGGCCCCTCCCCCAGATCTCTGTATTTTGTTGTTATAGAACTAAGAGATGACATCGGGACGTTACGTATGTGCTGCAGTTCTTACAGCTTCTTTGGAGAAAAGGCACTATATAAATTCAATAAATAAATAAGTAAACACAAATAATAAAAATCCCTGCCTCAGCTTCTGCAGAGAGAGCGAAAAGTCCTCCTGTTTTTTAATCGCCAAGTCACCAATCATTAAAACTGGTGGGAAGTCCAAGCCGCAGAAACATATTTAGAGCTAGCCTTATGTTAACGACACCTATTTGCGAGGCACAAAGTATGGGGAACAAAAGATTTCTTCCTATTGAATTATACCTGTTGGGATAGGTAAAAAAAATAAATCTCCTCTCACCTTCCAGATGGAAACAGAGAGAGAGAGAGAGAGAGAGAGAGAGAGAGAGAGAGAGAGAGAGAGAGACAGAGAGACAGAGAGAGAGAGAGACAGAGACAGAGAGAGGCAGAGAGACAGAGACAGAGAGAGGGAGGGAGAGAGAGAGCACAAGCCACTCAAAAGGAGAAAATGAGAGAAGGGAGGATTCTGGTAGGGGAATGCTAGACTTTGCAGGAGACTGACACTTCCTGACTGGAGTTTGATACAATGTTGGCCATAAGAAGCTTCCAGCTGTCCACCCAAGGCATCCACGTAGGATATATCTTCCTATGCTGGTGATGGAAGTTGGTTGAGAAAAGCCTTGTTTGGGACACGCTTGGTCAGAACAGATTTTCTGTTGGAATTCTGTATAGCAAGTAGAAAATGATAGAAATTAGGGCTGGAGAGATGGCTCAGCTGTTAAGGGCTAAGGATCACAACAAAACTTCAGAAATCAGGTCTCAGAGGACTTAATTCCACGTGCTTGAAGGCCCCTAACATCTTTGAAGCTTCCGTAACCTGCATACTTTCCCTTCTGCATCGGTAGCACGGCCTCTGATGCCATGGACCATCTTCCGTCTTCCCTGAGAGAAGCTGGATCTTTGCAAACCAGAGTCCTTCACTAAACCTTGGAGAGTCACCGTGGAGCCTGCAGGGACGGGGATGATGGCTCAGTGGGGAAAAGTGCGTGTCCAGCAAGCAGGAAGACGCAGGTTTTCATCACCAGAGTCCATCCAAAAGCCAGGCAAGGTTCCACATATCTGTAATCCCAGTGCCTCCACAGCAAGATGGGGGGCAAGAGACTAGAGAATCCTGGGGAGCAGGTCCCGGGCCAGCAGGCCAGGCGACCAGCGGAGTGATAAAACAGCAAGGAGATCCTGCCTGTCTCAAACCAAGGGGAAGGTCAGGCCCAAGATCGACACCGGAGGTTGTCCTCTGACCTACACACACACACACACACACACACACGCACGCACGCACGCACGCACGCACGCACGCACGCACGCACGCACGCACACAGGCGCACACATTCATTTGCCGCAAAGATTGAAAGGGGAAAAGATACTTTGCTAAATGACTATGAATGAGAAGAAGAGGCAAAAGGAAAGGAAGAGAGGCAAGAGAGAAGAATGAGAAAAGGGCCAGAGGAACCAAGAGAGACTGGGGAGGGAATTGGAGAAAGAACTCCCGAGCTTCACATTTCCATAGATCCTGGGGGCTGGGGAGGATCTGCTTGTATCCAAATCAGAGCTTTACCCGGCTCTGCTGATAGAATGAAGGTCCTTGAGGTGGCCCAAACAACGTGGGGCACTCCCTCACTGATCATGGAGTAAGTCTTTGGCCCACTTCAGGAGACCTGCCTCCTCCCCACCCCCCACCTCTGGCGTCTGACCTTAGGAGGGATGGGCTCGCTAACAGCCTGAAGCACGGCTAACAGTCTGGGATGAATCAGAAGTAATTTTGTATTCAACCAACCTGCTACATATTCATTTCCGAATGTGCCTGGCATCAAACCAGCCCATGCGAAGTCAGCACCCCCCAGTCGCTCTCTGCCTCACCCCAGCTTCACTTTTCAGATCTGACACATTTCCATTCCCCTCTGAACTCGCAATCTCCGAGCCTCTCAGGGAGGAGACATTTCCATTCTTTCCATTCTCCATCCTCTGATCTCTTTGAGATGAGGCAATTCTATCTTCACTGCACTGATTTAAGAAATACTGATAGGAAAAATAAATATCTGGTTTGGATTCCCACCTTCTGAAGACAAATCTTGGCTGCGCTAGGACATCGATTAAAGTGATTGGGTGTCTGCTTTTCAAGTTAAGGCACTTCTCTATCCAGCCACTCTATTTTGGGCTTTTGGGGTCGTGTACCAGGACTCTATTCATTAGAGGGTCCAGTAATGGTAGTGCTTTCTCAAGCCGGAAGCCCCGTTGTTCCACCCCGTGTTGTGTGATTGCGTCCTGTACCTCGCCGTCGATGAGTGCCGTGTGCATCCTCTTCTAAATCAAGGTCTTCATCTGAGGGGACAAATGATCAGCATTAGCCATCAGTGGGGGGTGGGGTTTGGTCTTTATGCTCTTTCTTTTGAGGGGGTCACCTTTCTCTGAGCTCACTGACCTCCCCTTTCTTGTGTTTCAAAGCAGAGTCTTGCTATGGAGCCCAGGGTGACTTTGAACTCATGATCTCCCTTACCTTAGCCTCTCAAGAGCTGGAATTACAGGCATGTGTTATCATGCCTAGTTAGGGAACTCTCTCCCTTAAAGGAACTTTCATTAACACGTTTTCTTCTTCTTTGCCCTCCTCAATCATCTCTCACCTTTGGATTGGCCATCCTCTCCTCCCCTTTCTATTCATTATCCATTTGCAAACATTCTGAAGGACACACTACACACTAGAGGCTGCCCTAGGAACAGGGGACACACAACAAGACAGGCATGCCGAAGTCCCCGCCTTGATGGAGCTTCCAAACCACTGAATCACCAAGGGGCTTATCACGAGACCCAACTCTTTCCCTTAACCCCTATTTCTTCTTTCTTGGTGGAATTCTTGCTTGTATCTATTATCCGCATGCAGCCATCTTCTTTGGCTTTAGTCACTCCAGAGTTAGGGTTTGAGAGAGAGGGGAGAGAGAGAGAGAGAGAGAAAGAGAGAGAGAGAGAGAGAGAGAGAGAGAGAGAGAGAGAGAGAGAGAGAGAGAGTTTTAAACCTTCTGTGATTAATTAGTCCCTAACATATCCATTTTTGTTCAGCTGTATCGGAGGCTGGACATGTATATAGTTTTATGTTCCTAGTACTTGAGGCCTGTAGTTATCTTTTTACTGTTTTATTTAGCCTGCCTTGTTCATTAGAGTATAGGCTCCTGAGGGCAGATGGAATGGTCTTTTAATTAATTGCTGTGGATTCACAATGGGTTCTAAGTCAATGTTAGTGTCTAACTCCAGTCAAGTGTTTATATGGCCAAAGTCACAATGTGATTGGCCCAAGTTTCTTACCCTCATTAACCTGTTTCATCTCAAGCTTCATACTATTTGATGTAATAGGAACTGGGCCTTTATTAAGAAAGTATGTGTGTTAGACTAACATTTAGTAATCCTGTTTTATAATATAGAGTTATAATGTATATATATATGTACATGGACAGAAATAGGCTCACTATTCTTTTCTCTCTCTATCCTCTCTTCTCCTTTTCTCTTACACAGCACACACAGACAGTCAGATAGACAGACACACATATACACATGTGCACACGCACTTGCCTTACATCCTGTGGAAAAGGAGTACTTTGAAGGAATATTTTCCAAAAAAATTTTATTATTTTATGCATATGAATATTTCACCCGTATGTATGTATGTGTACCACATGTGTGCTTGGTGCCCATGGAGAGAATGTTGGATCTCCTAGGACTGGAGTTGCAAGTTTTTGTGAGCTGCCATATGGGTTCTGGGAATCGAACCCTGGTCCTCTGGAAAAGCAACGTGCTCTTAACTGCTGAGCCTTCTCCCCAGCCCTTTGAAGGATTCTTATTACTGGGTAAGGTCCGGCAGTGGGGAACTCCCCCTTCCATCTGCAGGGCTCCCCCACCCACCCCCCTCAAGGTACAGAGATGTAAGGTAAGGAAGGAATGAAG